TCTATTGGAAAGGGGCCTCAAGTAATTGGTGAACTACTCTTAAAGCATGGATTCATTTACCTTCTCTTTTATGTCTGTTTACTATTTTGGATTCATTTTCCTGCCATTGTGAATTGCCATACATTTCTGGCTTCTTTTTCTAGCTTTTATAGCCACAAAATTACCCTGCATTCTTTTCCTTCTCTTCTACATTGTAGACTATTTTTGGACTCTGTTTCTTTCTTTCATGGTCTCTTGATTTATTTTTGGATCATTTGACTTTCTTTATAGTTGGTGTATTATTTTAACCTCCTCATACTTGACTGAGGTTGGGGCAGGTGCTCCAGAGACGAGAAGTAGATAGGGCAGCTTTTGGTGAGGAAGGCAGCTGAAACAGGTAAATGAAAGACCATTTTGCCTCTTCTTTTTCTTTCCTCACATCTTTTTTTTTTCATTTGATGCATTTATGATCAGTTATTCATTTATGATGGTGTATTGTGGATTGACACCAACTTGGTAAAAAATTGAGACCATTGCTGGACCATATCATCTTTCCCCCTTCTAACATCTTTTTTCATTTATTTTAAATATAGAACAGTTTTGTTACTTATGCCAACAGGTAAATAAAAGACAATTCAAAATCAGCTTTTCCTTTCAGAACATAGTTTTTTGTGTGATACAATAATATAATATAAATCGTATACAAGTACATTGGGAAACACTTTCATCAAGCTACCATACCATTTGTTTAGAAAAGAATCCTACCTTTTAAAATATCAACTTTTTTTTGAGAAAATATTTTATTTTTGTCTCTGCATGCGAATGATTCCTTGAAGTAAAAAAGGTTTTTCATCTTCAGTTCTCTTTCCACATAAATATTCCCTTAAAATTGTTCCTTCTTATAGTCATCTAACCACCTCCCCCCCCCCCCCCCTCTTCCCGAATCCTAAATTAAGCACCCCAGGTAGCAAATAAGGCAACTTGTATGCTTAGGTATGGAGGTCAAAGATGGAACTTAGTTGATAAAATAAAGAGTTGTGTTTACCCCTAGAATTATTCTAAACAAGAAACTTGTTTAGGATCTGTAAGTAAAGCATCAGCAAGTGCTGAATTAAATGCACATACAGTATAATACCAATTATAGCTGCTGCAATGCATATATCTTACCAAGATGACCTAATAATTATATAATACAAAAATGACAGATGCTTATCTGCAATGAAGATACATTTATGCATGTTATGCTGTACATCTTCCAGTTCACATTGGAACACTGACAGTTGTAAAACATTATCATTGTTTCAAAATAAAGGCAAAACTTCTTTAAAAAGGTACAGGTAAGACATTAAGATTTTGCAGAGCATGTCACTTTATTTTCAAATCATAAGTAAATTATAAAATGATGCTGTGAAGGTGTTTGCAGTACAAATGCAGTTGATTAAGATTGCAAAAAAAGTGTAACAAGTTAATGGGACTGTAAGCAGTGGAAGGGAGGGGGGGCTGGTGAAAAACTACTCTTTTGGCTGGAAAATTGTCAAAGTAAAAAACAGGTGAAATTGTGAATGTGAAATTGTGAATGTTATATCTGGTTTGGCAATCTCAATCACCTGTTTTTTTTCATCATCATCATCTAAATGATGATGATGATGAAAAAACAGGTGAAATTGTGAATGTGTTTACAATACAAACGCAGGTGATTGAGATTGCCAAACCAGATATAACACGTTGAAGTTTATTCCCAGTCTTAAGTAGTTCAGTGTGTGACTGAGGCTTAATGCTGTATTTGTAGAACTCAGCCTCAGCAGGAAGATCTGTTGACCCTGTTAAGATATTGGACTAGGACTGTTATCTTTCCCTCTTTTAATTAAGTCTCTGATAAGTAATTAGCTCCCTCGTACCTTTGATGGGCCAGATATAGAGAGCTCTGCATGACAGAGAGATTGACTTATGTGTGGTATAACATCTGTATTATATTATTTATTCCTCTTCAAAACAAGTGTAAAATTAAGTGAAATGATACATCTTTTGCCATGTTTGATAATTATATCATCGACTTAGTGGTGAAAGGGATATAATATACAGTCATTGCACAGGTGGACAGTGATTTTCAGTTAAAAAATTAAGGGGGCCTTTTTACAGTAATGGTATACATAAGCATTATACATACAAACTTTATCACATTTTGTATCAGAACATGTAGGCCCGTTCCCAACAACAACAAATATTGGTTTGTTTGAACTTTTCAAACTAGTGTTTGTAAACTTGTATTTGTAATTTTCAAACACTGCTTTCAGAGCAAAATGCATTTGGTCATTATCATGCAGGGAATCCCATAATCATCACAAAGCCATCATCATTAACTACCAAATCCAGGTGTGCTACAATCAAAAAGTCACTAGAGGCCTTGAGTCTGGATAATTAGACTAATAGTTATCTGATTAGTCAATAGTTTAATCTGCTATTCTAATAGCCCCTGACCCTTTCCATGCCCCTAAGCAGCATAATTGGCTTCATGTCAGTGTTATCTCATCATCCTCTTATCAGGCACCTGTTGTTACCTGTCCAGGCCCCTGAATCAGTATGAATGACCTAATTACCTGGGTTATCTAATTAAACAACAATTTAAATCCTCTTTTGAAGCCCCACAGACCCCTTAAGTCCCCATGGGCTTTGAGTGGCTTGAACTTAATTGCCCAGGTGAAATTTGAAGGCATTCAAGTGGAGATGGTATCTTTCATTGGCTTCACTGTGGAGAATAGACAGGATTTTTTTTTTTTTACTCGTCTCAGTCTCTCTCTTGGTGTTGTGGTGTACTTAAGGAGGTGGAGACAGCGTGGTTAAGACCAGTCTGGTTAAGGACATCAGTGGTTAAAGACTGTTGTTAAGCTACTGGGAGAAGTCTGAGAGGTAGTTAGTCTGGAACATTGAGACTTGCAGAGGAGGAGGAGCAGGGTTGGATAATATTGCTGGAGTCAAGTTATTGACAACTTTGTCTGCTGCTGGTAAGTTATGGAGAATTATTGCTGCAAATACAACATAGAATGGTGATTATGTACATAAATTGAATTAAATATTGCAACATGCTAACATGGTAGGAGAGTTACCTTGTATAGTGAAGAGAGCCTGCATGTGTACCAAGGTCTCCATTTAGTTTTCAATGAATTTATCAGTGTATATCATGTAGAATATGTAAAAAGTGCCACTCGGTCCTTTACCTCACTGACTGACTTTTGATAAGGAGGATTGTATGAATGGAGTTACTCTTAGCTTTAGGATGGCCATGTGATATGTGTCACTCGATCTTGTAATTGATCTAAAGATATCTGAGTTATTTTTACATTAGTTTCTTGTTTTAATCCTGGGATAACTGCATTAATTTCAGAGTTTCAGTGTAATTACATTCTGATTTTTACCTTTATAAAAGCACAAGGAGAGATTAAGACTTGGCTGAAATATGTGTGCGGCATACTTGAGTTTGACACATGCTTGTTAACAGTGACATAATCAGAGGCATTTTTTGGCGGCTGCATGTTTGTAATGTTCTCAATTTAGATGGAATCAGCAGTTTGCCTGTCTGGCTCAGGACAGTAGAGACAAAAGACTGCGAATTTTATCATCAACAGTGTAGGCCAAGGTGTTTTCATTTGTATACATGTTTGGGGAGCACCTGTATGTCTGATGTCACAAATTCTTCTCAAGAAGCAGGGTATATTGAATATCAAACATGGATACTGTTCTAGATCTAGATCCGTTCTAGATCTTGGGTTCTATTGACAGTAGTACTCGTGTAGACTAAGGTGTGAAGAGTAGAAAGTTCAGCCTGTACACAAGGTGCTGTCTGCAGCTGCGTCTGGCTGCCCTTGTTGAACTTGTCTCATCACAGCTGTCAGCTTTAGCGTGTCTGTAGTGTCTGCCAGCGTTTAGTTATACAGATAATTACTACAGTGGCCCCCAGGTTCGTTGTAAAATCACATTAAGTTTTGAAGTGTTTGGGGTCTGGTTTTCCTTGGGAAATAGATCCTCTAACCCTAGTAAAAAATGAGGATTGAAAAAACTGAAACAAAATAGTTTTTTAATGAAGCCCTTTGTTTAATTAGCATGCATAGTGATCGTTGGATTGAATTACAGGGAGTAATAGAGAGAAGGGGCAGTGCAATGTTATTATGTGTGAATTTCAGGAAAATTAAAATGTTTATTTTTAATCAAATTTACAGTAGCAGAGTTTTGGGACTGAAGTTCAGGAGAAATGTTTCGAGATGAGTTTATACATATATATGGTAGTTCCTCTGTAAATTTGAGCAACATTAAATTGGAATTCCACACTCACCCTTTCCGAAAAAAGAAAAATAATTTGTGAGTAATAGTGAAAGTAGATTTGGAAATTTTAAGATAGATTTGGAAATTTTAAGAATTGAGTTGGACTCATGCCATTAAGTAAACTGTACATTGTCAGAAAACGATAAATCTCGAAAAAGTAACAGTAACATTGGCAAAAGTGCTCATTTGAAAATTTAAAGTTATACCATACCAGCAGTGACTTACAGACTGCCAGTGACTGTATAAACAGCCTGTAGCAGGCAGGGTTCAGGTTTTTAGTGAGGACCCAGACACTGCTTGCTAGGAAAAGCTTTCAGACTGTCGCAATAAATTTACAGGAACAAGCAGAAGCTCTCGTAAACTACTCTCCTCTTGCACTACAGCGCCCTCTTTATTAATGTCCCTTTTTTGTGATTTCCCACTTTTTTCAACCTCAATCAAAGAAATTGTGAAGAATTGAGACTGATTATAATAAACTGCTAAATACACAACAAGGTTCTTCCTGTTTACCAAAAATTTCTTCCCCTCGCACAAAGGGGACACAAATAAAGAATTGATCTTTGCCCAATTTATTTTCAATTTTTTCTGGATATAAGAAGGAAATATTTGATAAGATTTAAGACTTACCACAAGGAAATTATTATAGGAGTTTTTTCCACTATTCATAGAATGAACACACTATGTACCAAAGTTCCATCAGTTTTACATTAAAGACAACACTAGTTGCAGTGTAGTACCTTGAACAAATATAAGATTTTCTTCCCTGACAGAGCCAGGATATTGGCTTCAGTAAATGAACGTCGTCAGAGTCAGGGGATTCAGGGAAGTTTCACTAATTTAAAAGATATTTTAGTTTGGACATCAGGGAGAATTTTTTTAATCACATCCTCTGAACCCCCTCCCCCTTATCCATGTAACCCCACCCCCCTCCAACCCTGCATAACTGCCAAATGATTGATGGAGAAAATACTGAAGATAGAAGACACCAGTGAGTCTATACTTTAAACTGTGAGTTAAAGAGGTGAATGCATGACAAGACTGCATGTCGGGGGACATATTGATTTTGGTTTTAGTAGAAGAGGAACTACTAGACTCAGTTGATGTCTTTCACCCTGTTATCATTATGGTCTTTCATTCCCTCTCTCTCTCTCTCTCTCTCTCTCTCTCTCTCTCTTTTATTTCTTTCTCTCTCTCTCTCTCTCTCTCTCTATCTCTCTCTTGGCCTAAGCAAAATATTTTTATTACCAGGGTTACCCATGAAGGGCCCCTGAAAAGGGCAAAGGTGCCGATGGGGATTGGGGAAGGTGGGGGGGGGGGGCTAATTCTAGGCATATGAGCCATCTGTTCCAAGATCCAGGGCACACAGCTGATGTTTACTAAACTTGCATGTCAGTAGCCGAGGAAAATAATGTTAGGGGTTGAATCTTCTCCGACCAGGCCATCTGTTCTTTAATGTGACATTGGCGTGTATATAAACATTTATTTTTTAACCAAAAAAAAAGTTGATGCAATGGACTTTGAACTTGATGTTGTATACACTTTGATATGTTTTTAGCTTCTTGGCCTTATAGTTGTAGTGTCAGTACCTCAATTACCATGATGCCGTACTAAATATTTTTACCTTTTAAGCCCAGTTACAGCTGTTATGTTTTTTATGCAAGTGATCATCAGCATCTTATTCAACATAAACATATAATTGGTTGTTTTAGAAGCCAGGCAGCTGAAAATGTTTTATCGAACACATTAGATTATTAAATCTAAGACTAATAAATGAACGGTAACAAAAAAGGCCAAATTAGACTAAAATAAGCATTCAGCTAGTCATATCAATTCACACAATATATATTCGGAACCGAGACATAATAACTTCTAGATCTGGATCAATTAAGAATATTATATGAATGCCCCAGAGTCCCCGTTTAAAGCTCGCTCTTAAAAAATATTGTGTGAACGTCCCCACATTTCTTCTTAATGGCAGGGATCAGTGGCAAACCAGAGCTGAGCTGAAAATTGAATGAGGAATTGAATTACTGCAATAAAACACTTGTGTTTGCTGGCCCTGGGAGAGAGAGACAGGTCCTCCATGATCCCGAACCTTAGAATAACAGCTTGAAATGTTACTTTTTTGTGATATTTTAATTTATAAAAAGAGCAGGGATAAAAGTTTTTTTTCTTTGTTTAGGTTGTATGGATCACGATAATGGCTTTAAATGTGCAAGATCAAAATGTTATGTTTTTAGACTTGTTTAAATTTAAAACAAAAGCATGGAGAGAAGTATTTTGTTTTGGTTACTGTATATGGATTATGGTAATGGGTCTAAATGCACGAGATTGAAATGTTACATTTTTGGACATATTTTAATTTAAAGATAGAGCACAGATTGAGGCATTTTGTTTTGCATGTTACAGAAATTGAAATTGCTCTAAAGGGGTCAAATATTGCAGTTTTGCTGGGATTTTCTCTTAAATAAAGGAAGCTGTATTAAGAATTTGGCTGTATGTTTTTCAACGAATTTTACAGTTTTGCCCAAGCTTTCTTCAGAAGAGGAGTGATACTTAAAACTGGGGTATATATATCTTTGTATGAAGGGAAAATATTGCAATTTTGCTGGAACTTTCTCTTAAAAGCAAGCAACAACAAGAGAAAATGGGTTTATGTAAGGCTTACGTAGCTACACTATTTAAGGGGCCTTGTTTGTACAAGGTGAGACCGTGTCTGACTCCCGAGTTCCCAAACAATGGCTTTCACATTCCACGATGTGGAATACTTCTTGTTGGTGCTGAATGCAATCCTTTAACCCCTCCGTCTTGTAAATATGGCAATTTGAATGTTTGTAAACTAGGGGTGCTAAGTTCTGTTTATTCTGTCGTGTTTTTCCTCTTTCAGTCAAATATTTGGGGTTCCATGGGGCAAGTGTAACCATTTGTACTGTGCATGTTTGGGTTCACGTGTGCATGTCTGGTAAGTATTTCAATAGTATTACCTGTGATTTGGGTTCTGCTTGTTGGTTTTGATGTGTGCCTAGCGAAGGATTTTCTCTTCTTCTAATTTCTGTGGTGGCCTAGGAAGAAATAGGTAGGATTTTCTGGATATTCTTTTTTTATGATTATAGTGTTTTAAGAATGTATAAAAATTAGCTCGCAATGCTTCCCTCCATTATCTTTTCTTAAGAGAGTGGGGGGACAGCAATTGATCAGATGATACAGTTAACATCAACATTCCCCCCCCCCCCAAAAAAAAAAAAAATAGAAAAAAAAGAAAAGAAAAAGAAAACGGTTAGTTAGTTAGCTAGATTTATTTTACTGAAATGTATAACTGCAATTTTTCCCTTTTGTTGAAGAATTTTGATTGCCTGAAGCTCGGACAATAATAACCAATAGTAGAACTCGAACCCGAAAAGCCAAACAGAAACATAAAGAAAAAGAAATTCCACAAATTTTCTGCTATGTTATTATCTGTGGAATGATTTGTGTGGCACAGTAACCCAATACCAGGACCATTCAGACCAACAAAGTCGTTAACTGCATCGTCAGATAAAAACCCAAACCTCTTCTCGGTCTTATTCATTATAGATAGCATCCCAACTCCAGTTTTGCTGATAATAGTGTCATTAGTACTCATATGTAAAAGCTGAGGTAATTAAGACTGATAAAATTCCACTTGTTAATATAAATACAGGCATATCAATGTCTTACATCTTGATTTAAAAAATGGCTATTTACCAATAACAATGTGGATTGTAATCACGTGTGGTATATCAAGGTGGGCATCCTATCTGGAGATGACTATGTTTTCAATTCTTTTGTTAGGAATTGGAAGATTGTGAATTAGTTTATGGTTTTAGTGTTCGGGATATTGTGTGTGTGTGAGAGAGAGAGAGAGAGAGAGAGTGAAGGACAGAGAGAGAGAGAGAGAGAGAGAGAGAGAGAGATGTTTTTGTGAGAAGGGCTTGGGAATGAAAAAACCTAGACTTGCCAGTGTTTATACATTAAAAGTACACTCCATGGGTTATGGGTTACTCCCAATTGCTTATTTTTGCGATCCACAGCTTATTATAAAACTTAACATATGCCTTAATGAAGATTTAACCCCTAAAATAATTTTTCCATTGGAACTCGTAGGGCAATGGTCGCTGGTTACATTGACTGGCCAGTCATTTTAAACTAAATCAACCTTTAAATAATTAATAAAAGGTCAATTCAAAATGCAGAGGGGGTCGGGATACATAAATGATTCGTGAGTAAAGAAAATTGCTTATTTCCCCAGAAAAATCCATTTCGGCAGGTAAATCCCATGAAAACCATTTCTTCTCCAGTATTCTTAGCACAGTGAAACTTAACAAGATGGCAGTAACATCCCACGCAAGTTAGAAACACCATCCTGCTGCGTCTTTCTGAGTGATGAGGCCAATACAGACCTGTGGGAATTTATTTTCAATTAGCACAACATTCTAGATTTGCCTTATCTCCGTACCCACATGTTCTGATCTGACGGCATTTCATTTGCTAGAGCTCGGAATAAAGTACAGCTTTTTGTTTCTATTTGTGTGTGTCTCTGTGTCCCGCTGTTTCTTTCTTGGGTAGAACTTAGATGTTAAACTAGGAAAAGCATTTCCTTTAGTTAGTAAAAGGGGATTCTATGAAATTGTATTATTGCATGTGCAGGCAATGGAGCCTTGAATAATTCGGTGATTTTTCTGATGAGGATTGAAAGTCCACCCAAAGAGTCTGATTTGAATTGTCCAATAAATAGGAGATCAGAAATTGAAGATAAAATGCAAGATGCAAAAAAATAAATCAAATTAAGGATATGATCACCAACTTAGATAGGAAAGGTAAACATAATTTTAAATAAACGTCTGTTTTAGTCCAGAAATAGGTATAAGAATCAATGTGTATGTCATATATTATCAATGAAATGTCTAATAATACCATGCAGATTATATGAGGACCAACAATTAACACCCAAAAATGAAGATGTCATTTGAGTTATTGCTGAAAACATGGCCTAGAATGTAATAAGTTATCAGAAATCTATGATAAGCTTTCTTTTGGTCAAACTGCTGGATGGTTTGAGTCAAGATAAAAATTCTTACTCAAATAATGAAATAAATAGTATTTTTAAAAAAAAATATGGGATGCTTATTCTACTTCTCAGCCAAATTCAAATGTGTATTATAGCATTTGGCTTTAATTTGCTTGACTGGTATTAGCCTAGAATACATTCCATTTTATTGTGTGTGTCTAACTGTTATAACAACAATTGGTTCCAAATGACATGAAGCTAAAATTAACCAAATTTAACCGAAAGATTAAGTGCGTCAAGTGGTTTAATGTAAAAGTTGTGTAAAATTGCTGCCCTTTAGTTTGAAAACAACTCCTGTTAAGGAAAGATCTTAGAAAATTAAAGGAATGAATTAAGGATGTCTATACTAAGAAGATGAAAAAGTCATGTTTAATTATAAGTGCTGATGGCATGTTGCTCATGAGAAGTCCTAAGAAAGGAAATGAAGAAGAAAGTTAATGTGGAAGCCATGTTTGAAAGCCTTTGATTAAAAAAAACTACCTTAGAGCAGAAAAAAGAAGGAAATTAAAGATCATATTTGTGTAGGAACTGTTCTTGCCTGTGAGTGCAAGGTTAATTGTAAACTCAGTGGCAGTTGAAAGACAGTGAAGTACAAACTAGGAAATTGGAAGTATAGGAAACCTTGCAAATTTTAAGAATAATGTTTGAATTTTGGTGTAAAAATCCCTTGGCAGTAAATATATTGTTACCACACATGCTAGAAATTGAAAGTTAGGACAATTTGCCTCATCTTTTTAAAGAATAATCTTTGAACTGTTGTAAAACTTTCTCTGCATTAAAAATATTTGTATCAGACAGATGTACTCCCATTTTTCTATTTGCGTTAATCTTATTTTGATAGCCCATTAGAAAAAAAAATAAATAAAGCAAAATGCCCCGAGTTTCCTGGGTCACTGTCAAATCATCTCTGTTGTGTGATCACTGTTAACTGTAGTGGCATGTAGATTAAAGAGGAGTGCTTCTAATGACATGTGATACTCAGGGCAAGGGAAAAAAAATTGCCCAGAAAACGAAATGAGTAATCAGTTTGTGCAGTGTATCTCTTTTCAAGGAAATCACTCACTGTAACTGATCACCGTCTGCTGGGAAATTTAGGAACTTTCCAGGGAATCGATGAACATGTATTCTCAGGTCATTTGGTATATTGTGCTTTGAATGTGAATAAGTTCAAATTAGGTAATATATAATAGTGATGGAACTCAATATGATACCCCAGGAGGCCTGAAAAACAGTGGATCGTTTTGGTTGAATATTTGGTAAAACATGGTGTATCAAAAGTGTACAAATAATATTTTAGCATGAGTGTAGTTCACACAAGGACAGGGTTGGAACGGAAGTAGGTCCAACTTGTGTAGTTTTGTTGGTCTGATTTATGATGCATTTTGGTTAGTTTTGCACGAGGTAGTTTAAGTGTTGCTCTGTAATCTGATCACTAGAAGTCTGAAAATATACGATGGGTCTGATTTCTCTCTCTCTCTCTCTCTCTCTCTGTCTGAGCTGAATTAGAATTGCCATAGACAGTATTCGGGTTAAAAATAAGGAAATGTAGCTTTAATAACAAATATAAGTGTCGCATAAAATGCTGGAAATTTAAGATTTTTCCTTTTCCATGTTTTTCAATTCATAAAATCAGCATTAGACGTTATATTCTGATGTTTACTTCATTGTAAAGTTAAAGAGACAAAATGGGTGAGGATATTATATTTCTTTGATCTGATGAGATTGTACGATATAAAGTTACTGTTATGTCCTGGTGTATAAAAACATGTCCAAAAATGATTCCGTAGATGATAGGTTTTATTTCTTGTCCTTAGATCCACAAATGGAAATGCGAGCTCGGTGCAATTGGATTATCTAAACAATAAGAGAATGTTGGAGAGTCAAAAATTTGACCCGTGAGAGATTTTAAGATTGAAGTTCTTTTATAAGAAGTGTCAGTCACTGTAAAGATATCCTTAAAATTGTGACAGCGTGATTTTGTTTTGTGAGCTCTGAGTTGTTAAAGAGCTTAGTTTTGCTACGTATGTATTACTGATGTTTGATTAGATTTTTGTTATCATTTCAGATGTCACGTTGGTGAAGTAAGTAGCTGGATCACCTTAACCATTACTAACCATTACATCTGCAGGTCAAGGTCATTTGACTAAGGTCACCAAGTCAAGGTCGTCATCAAGGAGTCATATTCACCCTGTTGCCATGCATTTTTCAATATTTCACTTCGCCACAGCTCTGACACTGATACTTGTAATTTTCGCCACCAGTTCTGATGCGCGTGGCAAGCGAGCACGTGCCCGTGATATGTACAGGAATCAAAACGATGAGCTTGTCACAGAAGACAGGTTCAATTCAAGAAGAAACCACAGAAAAAAGTCAGACAAGCCAAATATTGTGATTATCATGACAGACGACCAGGACAAGGAACTCGGTTCCATGGACTTCATGCCAAAGACCATGAAAATCATGGGCAAAGGTGGCGCCACATTCAACAATGCCTTTGTGACTACACCAATGTGTTGTCCGTCGCGGAGTTCATTTCTTACGGGAATGTATCCCCATAACCATAACGTGTACACAAACAACGACAACTGCTCTTCGATTCAGTGGCAGCAGACGCACGAGACACGGAATTTTGCAACGTACCTAAGTAATGCGGGATATAGGACAGGTGAGTTAAATTTCAGTTTAAGAATTGTTTTAAAATATTTCTAAATAGCATTTGTGGTGCTTTTACTTTATTGAATATAACTATTGGGTAGCCTGCTTTTCAATTTTGTTACTACCACTTAATAGGAATGGGCAAATTTTATGAATGTATGACTTAAAATACAGCATCAGCTCAATTAACAAATTTCCCCATTGAAAAGATGAGTCGATCATATCAGTATAACATCATTTGGTTTTGTATATTTGGTACAGGGTTGTCTTTTGTCTGAAATTTTTTTTCTCCTTCAAATTCATCTTTCTGTTTTTATTAAATGATATTGACTCCTTTTCAAATTGGTAATAATTAAGAAACTGAAAATTCAAAAACAGGATGCAGTCCTAGATTTGAAAAAATAAAAGCAAACTTGAACTTGAATAACTCCATCAGAAAAATAAATGCCTTTTCTTGTCAGGTGATTCGAATCTTTTGTAATAATTTTCCTAGCTGTCAGGGTGACAAATGGTGGCTTGGGAATATCTATTATTTCCTTGTCGTTGCATGGATTGATGGCCAGTTTAACAAATGCCAACATACACATTTTACATGCCTGCGATTTTATGAACAGTTAAACTTGGGTTGGTGTCCGTCTCCTATTTTTGACCTAGAATAGGAATCATTGGTGTCTCTTACCGCCTTCTGAATGTTTTGACTTTATCTGACTGACTGAAGTTGATTACTTTTGACAATACAATTCTTACTCTATTTTCCCTATTTGCTATGCAGCTTAAGCAAATATAGCAGGTGGTTTTTCGGCTGCCCTTTTCAGGACTTATCTGTATCCATTGCACCTTCTGCCGAAGACCTGTTCTCTTCAGTTTTAACTTAAAACCATTGAATGTCCAAATGTGGTTATAGAATGATCAGTTTCTACCAATTTTAACTTAAACTGATTTCAGTCCAAGTATGGTGAAAAGACAACCAACAAACACCATGTTGTTACAAGATGAGATTGTGCAGTTACAATTTCTCACCAGAAAAAGCCAGTCTTATCTTTTGGTTTCCCATTTATATAAAGCTTATGCTTATGGATAGATTTCTGTTGATTGTGAAATTGTAATCACTCTCTCATCTAAGATATAATGTTACTGGAAACGTGACTAAGGACAAACATAAATAGGCATCTAGGAGGTAATCTTAAAAGGGCAAGATAAAGAGGCTGAACTTTAAAAAAAAATGTCCACATCGGCTCAAGGGCTTTGGCTGTCTAGAGGTCATATCTAGCACTGAACAACTAAATTTAAAGTGATGAGAACAAGCAATTAATGCTATATTTAAGTCATCATCTTGGAGATTGTCTTTGTAAGGAGTAATGGTCAAAATGTCTTTCTCTGTCTGGAAGTCTTATTTAAAACCGAAAATGATTTAAGTTAGAGCTGATAAAAACTGGGATTAAATGAAGTGTGCAAGTCACACAAAAGTGCAATTAACACAGTAGGAAGATGAAGTGATGTAAATTATCGCTAAAATCCCAGAGGTGTCTTAAAACACCTAGTTCATCGTTCATGTTCTTCTCCAGGGCAGAATTGATTGTGCCTGTTGGTTTGCACTTATTTTGGAAACACATGCCCTAAAAATGAAATTGAAAAAAATTAATAAGTACTAGTAAATAGACAAATAAAAACATAAATGAATTAATAAATGAAGCATTTTACCAGATGACCTTTTAAAAATGGGTACCAGTGGCCCATCAGTAAAAATTTCCTTTTGAAATGAAGTACAGACATAATCTTAATATATTGTTGAAAATTGATACCTAATTGAAAGTATAACATATAAAATCTGTAGGAGATGTACTGAATATATAATTTGCTTAAAAATAATAGTGTCAGTTGGAAAATATTTTATCTCCTTGCATTCGAAAAGTATAGGGATTTTACATTGAGATATGTACATAGAAGGTCTATATATATGAAATGTTAATATTTGTTTGCAGATAATGATTTCAATTAATAGAAACTGGCAGTGGCTTTAATCTGATTACTCATTATTGCGTCAATGAAGTGATTATCATTATAGAGGTAGAATTATGGAAGGAATGCATCATGTCTACAAATTAATTATGAAGACTTAATAAGTCATTAAGATTGAGTCACTTTCGATAATGATTATATGGACAATAATCGGAATTACTCCATGTTAGGTATTCCATTATCATAGGAATTTAAACATTGATCAAATAATCTACCAGCCAAGAACATCAGTAAAATTCTCCCACCAGATGGCAGGTCTTCCAAGACACTCTAATCCAAGACTGGTGGTGTATTTACTGGGACATGTTCTCATGGCCCTTCATGCTCTGTAAAAAAATTTAATTTCAGGGATTATCTTGTTTGTCATATTTTAAATATCCATTACCTCTGATTCTTTATTTATTATTTTTTCATCATTTTCTCATCAAGATATAAAGCCACTCGAGGGTGAACTTTTGTGGATTATAATGTCAGTGTCAATTTTATTCAACCTAAAAAAATGAAAAGAAAGAAAGGAAGGAAGACGGCCTCCCATTTAGATTTTAATGAAATCTGAAGTGCTCAATTTGTTGGACCTTTTCTCTGGCAGTTTTTATACTCTATTTTCTCAAGAGCCAATAATGCTGAGCCAAAGTCCAATTTAAGCCTCAATTTAAGCTGTTGTATTCAGTCTTTTATGTGAGGATTTTTTTCATGGGTCCTGTAGAGTATTAAGGCAGCTTTTATGACACATAATAAGAACCATAAGATTTAATGTCTTTTCTTTTATGAATAGTGTTGATAGTAAAACAGTATTTCAAGTTTTTTTTTTTGGTCAGGACTGACGTAAGCTAGAAATGGCTATTCTTTAGTCAATATTGCCACAACGAAAAATCACCAAGGGACCAATGTACTATGAAGATTTTTTGCCCTTTTCAATTAAAAAAAAATGACAAAAGGGGCTTACACTAAAATTTGGATCTTTTAAGAAATTAAAAATTAAAATTTGAAGAGTTATACTAAAATGTTAAGTTTCAAAATAAAACTTTCAGTTTTCTAAATTTTTTTGCAAAACCAATCCCCTGTGTAATGAGACACGTTTGATTTAAACAAACTATTTTGAATGCACCTTCAAAAAAAAAAGCATAACAAAAACTGAACTGAAGTGCCTTCCTCGAACCACCTGCTCTACGAGATACAAGTGCGTGTTACGCATGACAACGAAGGGATTAGGGGACAAAGGGCTGTCAATCATCACTTACCGGGGCCTGAGGGGAACAGGGGAGAAGAACAGGGGGGGGGAGGGGGGGCGCGGGTAATGATATTAATCAATTTCCTTTGGTTTATTTATGTTTCTCAGGAAGCATGCACTTCAAATCTTTTTTCAAACTGGTTGTAAGCAAGTCCTTTTAATGGAGACAGAAGTTGGCCTTGAAATTTAGGCAAAGTTGATGTCATTTTTGATTTTTACTTAATTCAAGGTTGAAAAAATTGTCACTGATATAATTGAACCAATTTGGCATTTTAGAACATCTTTTAGAGCTACTACCAAAAATGTTTTTTTATTTCATTTATTTTTCACTATTTACTTTATTGTTTTTTCTTTCTTTATTAATTTTGAGGGGGTGTTGAATTTGTTCAAATTTACTGGATAATTACGGTAGGATAAATATTGAACTTTGCCTGCCATTATCCTCATAAAAGCAGCTTGAATCTTTTGGGATCTTACAAAAAAGTGAACTATTTGTACTGGGGAATTTGTTTATGCCTTGGGGGATAGTATTTCGTGACATAAACATTTTTTTCTGTATTTCAAACTTTTCTTAGGTCTCACATGGTTGTGGAAGTTTTTTTTTTTTTTTTTTTTGATTGGGATCAATAAAGTTGGACCAGTATGTATAAACTTAAGGACTTTTCTTCTTGTAAAATTGATGCTTTAGGATGCAACTCATCTGAATAAATGCAATCTTATTTTATGAGCAATTTTTACATCTGTACCAAATGCTATAATTACTTCAGATCTGAGAAGCCACTGTCATTCTGCAAATATTTGGTGCCTCTTTTTGAGATTTTTATTTTTAATTTTTTTTTAACAAAATGCTTGAATTGACAAAAATATTTTATTTGAGATCCAACTTCCATCAAACATCAAGCCTTTTTTTTGTAACTGACATAAGAAAATATTAAATTCAAGACTGAGGGGTTAATGGCGTCAGTCTCGACATTACCAGATAAAAAACATAGCGTGTGATTGGCTGGCATTGAACAGCTGGGATGAAATAACAAGTTTAACAGGGGACGTTTGTGTGATTATGAAAACAATTATCTCTGTGCACATCTGTTAACGAAAGCTATTGCCACCTACAGGCATTCTCAGTCCTTTTTTTTTCTCAAACCGCAAAAAAAAGGAAAAGCAACTTTCTACAGTTTTTACCACAGATGAAAGACTAGCTAGCTTGTCCCTAAACGGATCTTGCCCAACAAAAAAATTTAAACAGAAAATAGAATGTATTGAATGTCTTTAAGGTTACTTAGAGAATGTTAGTCATTATCAAGAGGGATTTAATTTGGAATCTTTGAAGTTCTAATTTAAAGTTTTTGCATCAATTTATTTAACTTTTTCCTCACTTGGAAAAAAAAAGATCACCAACTTCAGCAAATGTTTTACCTCCTTTTCCACCTTTGTCATTATTTGAGAGGGGAAAAAACCATGTTATTTTTAATGACAGTAACAAGGGAGAAAAGTTTACATCTGAAAGCATATAATGTCTGCCTGTATCCTTTCACATTCTACAGCTCTTCCTAAATACCCGTAGCCTGTTTCACCTAAAAATATTAGGTTGAACATTTAAGCTAAAAGTTTGGTGTACTTTATATCAAGATAAATCCAAAGTAATCCACTTAGATAAAGTGAATATTGGTCTTGAATATTGGCAGTGTATTCCTTGTATAAATGACGCAAATTTCATGTAATTGGACAACTACTGATTTATCTGGAATGTTATGATTTTCCTCCTGAAAAATTCATCAAAATTAGTGGAAAACTGTTCGAGCTGTTTTGTTTGTGCTGTTGCTATGATGTAAGTTAGAAATTGTAAGTGTTGGAACTCAGACAACACAATAATGTGTATGCAAATCATAATTAACAGGCATTATGTAGTCTCGAATAGTTTTAAAAAAGAGGAAATACACTTGATGCACCCAGAACTGTTTGCCATATTGGCCATAAGGAAGGTGGCTACAGGCATGAAAGGCTTGTAATATAAATACATTAGTGTCTTTTTTTTTCTCTTCAGCAACTGCCAAAAAATGTCACAACTCTTTTTAAGTAAGCCATAAACGATACTGTTGCCATCTTGGGGGATATTTATCTTCCTCCTTCTGACCCCCCTCCTCCCAAAATAAATATCAGTCCTAGTTTCCTGCTTTATCAAAATATTTTTTCATGCGATATATTTTTTATTTCAAGAATTATGACTTCACCACCAAAGAACCAGAAATGTGCATTATAACATAAGTCGTATTAAAAAAAATGTTCTACAGCTCAGATTATTTTCTAGTTAGGTACAAATTGATGTCTTTTTAAAGATACAATTTGATGTCTCTTTGTGTGAGTCAAGATGAACATTCTCGAATCTTTTGTCAAGTGTTTGTAATATTCACAATTATGGTAGCGAAACTGATGTATCACTAGGTCTTAACAGCGTAACTATCTCATGAACCCTGTTCACCAGTGGTCCATGAAGTGAAGCTACTTGCTCACTTTTTCCCATGCCCTTAACCCTGTGAACAAAAGTGAAGACCGCCTTTTGTCTGGGTTGCCCTTTTTAATCTTCTTTCATCTCTCCAATATTGAGAATAACGGCTTGGGCAAAAAGTGGGGTTTAATATTGCTGTCACTGCTGTTTTTTACATGTGCCTTTCACAGCATGTTATATTTATATATATTCTTGGTCACTTGTAGGTCTAGGATTTTGCAATTTTTAGAACTTTTTTTACATTGTGAAAAAAGCCAGTGGTGAATAAAAGGGGGTTAAGTGAAACAATGTAGAAATTCAGGAATAAGATCAATTTGTGGTCATTTCCTGAACTTAGTTTAAAAAAAGTATTTTTTACGGAAGAGATACAGACAGTATTAAGATAAAACAATACAGAGCAAGGTGAGGTCACAAAGTGTTGAATCATGGCTGAAATGTAACCATTTTTCTTCTCTTTTCCCCAGGTTACTTTGGCAAGTATCTCAATGAATACAATGGTACATACATCCCACCAGGTTGGAGGGAATGGGTCGGTCTTATCAGGAACTCCAGGTATGTGATTGTCTTCAGTTGTATTTCATTTTATTTTAGCTGATATGTTCACTCTATTTATTTGCATAGAGTTGAAATATTTTAATGGAATCCTACATCTGGGCATTATTTTTGAATAACATTCTTCATTTTTTTAGCTGTTTAGGTTAGTTTTTCATTCAGTTATATTTCTGTTTAATTTTTGATTCTAATTTGATAATCTCTGTCTCTCTCTCTCTCTCTCTCTCTTGAAATGAATTAACATTACCTCATATTTCACTCCCATTCCACCACCTAACACTCCCTCCCATATTTATCTTCAACAAACACATTTATGAAGAACTTGTTTCCATCTTAATAAATATTTGCTGTTGCCGTGGTATCAAGATTTATGTAATCAGCCTCATTGCAGCCTATGTTTAAAAAGTTCTTTTGGTTTGTTGCGGGTATCTCTAAGAACAGTTGTGAATTGTGTTCAGTTGATTTATGTTCCCTTTTTTAAATAATCATGAAGTACTTGATTTTTAGTCTGATTTATGACTTATTTTATTACATGCTGTTGCACACTGTCTAGTCATTTAATGGGAGTTTTGTTGGGTTTAGTCGCATAACTTTATTCATTGATGTATTTTTTATGATAGAAAATTAATGTGTCAGATTGTATTATTTCAAAAGTGCTAATATAAAAACTTTTATGGCCATTTCTGTCTTTTGTTAATGATAAGTTCAATTTTCTTTCTTGATTACTTGGATTTATGCCTTTTAGAACAAACATTCATTTTATTTATTTATTTATTTATTTATTTATTTATTTATTTATTTATTCAATTGTTCATGTTTTAAACTGATTTTTCAACTACAGGTTCTACAACTATATGATCAACTTCAACGGACAGAAAATTCGCCATGAAAATGATTATTACAAGGATTATTTCACAGATCTTATTGCAAATGACAGTGTAACATTCCTCAAGCAGTCCAAAAGATATTTTCCAAATAGGTAAGACATAGTTATACATATTACTTTAATTTTTGTCTAAAAATTAAAAATTAAGATTAAGGCTAGTAAGAACTGTTGAATTTCCAGATGTGCATTTGAAATATTTGAAAAAAGGACCATGTACATGTTCAATACTAGCATGCTTTTAAAGACTTCTTACTGTTAAATGTACACTGTTCTTACCATTATAATATGTTGTTTTGTTCAAGAGATATTTGATATTGTGATCAATTTACCAAGTCTGTTTGTTTTGTTTACAGACCTGTTGCCATGGTATTGAGCATGCCGGCCCCCCATGGACCAGAAGATGCAGCCCCTCAGTATCAACATTTGTTTGAAAATGTCACAGCTCATAGGTAAAACTTAGGAGAAAATACCTTTACCTTTTATGATATGTCCATGGCATAATTACAGCATTCTCACTTTTAGTAGTTTCTGTAACCAATTGTGGGAGAAAGAAACAGAATGATAATAAAGAAGGAAAATAGTGAACTTAATTAATAAACTCAAGTGGCATGTTTTTTTTTTTTTTCTTGTACTGTTATTCATCCAAGTATGATCTATTCAGTTACACTCAATTTTATCAATTAAGTTAAACTCAGGTAAATGGCATGGTTTTTTCATCCTATTATTTAGCCATGTGTAATTTTATTCAATCCATGTAACTGCCCTTTTCAGGACCCCTAGCTGGAACTATGCACCAAACCCAGACAAACAATGGATCCTGCAGTACACAGGGAAGATGGAGCCCATCCACATTGCCTTCACAGATATACTGATGAGGAAGAGATTGCAGACATTACAGTCTGTGGATGATGCTGTGGAAAAAGTAAGATTTTTTGTCTGTCTGTCTTTTTGTGTTTCCCTGTCTTTCTGTCAGTTGACAGACTTGCTGACTGTTTTTTCCATCTGCCTTTCTTATCTTTTTGGTCACTGCAAGTTCTGAGGACAAAAAAACAATTTCACCATTAATTTCCCCTCTTGAAAAAGGCATAAACACTTATCCAATTGAAAAAACGTATATATTCAGGTGCACATTTCTTGTTGTATCAGGTATATACAGAGTTGAAGAATTTGGGAGAACTGGACAACACATACATAATCTACACATCTGACCATGGCTACCATTTGGGGCAGTACGGGCTGCTGAAAGGGAAGGCAATGCCGTATGACTTTGACACCAGGGTACCCTTCTATGTGAGAGGGCCAGGGATTGAAGGTGGCATGAGGTGAGTATGGATGGAACTTCCTGAATTTCAAAGGTTATTGGGGCCTCTCTCAGGGTGAGAGGATCAGGGATTTAAGTACCAGTCTCTGTAAGAATCAGAAAAATAACACAGGGGCATTGGAACATGACCCTCTCAAATTTTGTTTTTTTTTTTAAATTTATTGTGAAGAAATGCGCCAAAAACTAATAAATTGAGGCCAAAAAGTTGCATATTTAAAATAGTTAATTTTTAAGAGCGTTTTATAGTTAAGCTTGAAATTTTCCTCCCATACACTTTCCTATATAAAACTGGCGATGTGGTAAGAATGGGACACCTTGCATTTCATTGGTTATTAGAGAGTTTATCTGTGTAAGAGGTAGTAGAATTGATAATTAGGGATAAGGGTAGCATCAGAGAAAAGTTTTAAAGTTTTTGGACATAACAAAGGTGTCAGTGTGTATAACAGGACCTGAGTTTGATAGATGTTGTCTTTCTTTAACTTCATTTAACCTGTTATTTCAACTCTCATATAATTTTTATCAATTTTTTTGTTTTCAGCATGAATGAAATTTTAACCAATGTTGACATAGCACCTACAGTGTTAGAGATGGCAGGTATTAACATTCCAGACCACATTGATGGGAAGCCATTCTATAAACTGCTTCTGTCCAAAAATGAAGGATCTGAAAACTTTTCACCTCATTGGAGAGACACTGTATTGATAGAGAGAGGGTAGGTTGCTCTTAATTTCTCCACGACTTTAATTTTTTTTTTCATTGCAGAACATCTTAGTTAATTGTTTAAGTTTGGAAGTTGTTAAGAGATGTTAAATACTTCACTCTCACACACACACACAAACACAAAACATTTGAGACCACATTCAGATTCACACATTGTACTAGCTGGGTCGGTCCAACTCAGTCCTAGCTAAGATAAAGTTTGGAAAAGATGAAAACAGTAGCACAATGGGCAGAAATAATCTATGCACTGCAACATAAACAGTTACATTGTACGAAGGTGAAACAAAATGAACTTTTTTTACAAACACATGAATGAATAAAAATATGATTTTTCCTTTTTTTCTCTCATATTTCAGGAAAATCAATGGGAAGAATGTGAAGATTCGCGAACAGATAGAGTACCACAGTGTTCCTGGGCTGAAGAAAGAGGCACGTCTTGCCAAGGAGTGCCGGGACCCGGCTTTTAAAGCCCCATGTAAACCAAAGCAGGTTTGTAGAGGATCTTTTTATCTTTTGCTTCTTTATATTATACTCTTTGTACTTTTTTATAACAAAAAGTATAATAAAAGGTATTATTTGATAAGTTATATATATATATTTATAATTTGGGTCTTAATCATTGCAAAATGTTTCAGTACCCAGCACCAAATTAAGTGAATAGTTAAATAAATGATAGTGTGAAAGAATAAATAAATAAATAAATTAATTAATGAATAAAACTTTTTTTAGAAATGGGTGTGCACTCAGCTTCCTGATGGGAGATGGAGGAAAACCAAGTGTCGTCTGTCAGACGTGGTGAGCAAAGAAAAACGCGCTAAGTGCGTCTGCCCTCCCAAGAAAATGAGGAAAGATGAGAGAAGAAATCAAAAGCAGTTCCTGAAGAATTTTGTTAATCAGCGTAAGTTTACCTTCCAAGCAGCTTTTCAAGTTAGAGTTTATAGCTTAAAAAAACGAAATGATATATTTGAATAGGATGACATTTGAAAATTGAAGGGTATTAGGGAGTACAAGTTTTTACAGAAGTTCATTGTAATTTTTCACCTTAGTTTCGATTAAAAGTTCAATTTATCTATGGTATCCTGAGATCCAGTGGGCAGAGTGCTATTAAAATTATATCAAAAAATATTTCCCTATTAATTTTAATCATTTATTACACTCCATAGCTTCCATGTTAACTGGCACCAAGTTCATCAAGAACCGTTCTGGTCGGTCAATAGATGATAATGAATTGGAGGAAGTTGACCATCAGATGGCTGCTGACCACGCCATTACCACGCTGGAGACGGTGGTCACTCACTACGTCCAGAAACGTGGGGCCAATAGGAGGAGAAAGCATGATCATTGGAAGTTTGGTTTGCAGTCTGATACTCCAGAGGGTAAGAAGAAAGGAAGTTTTAATATCACCAATATGAAGTTTCAAGATCGCCAACATAAAGTTCTGTTTTAAAAAATTATAAGTATGTTATAAGTATGTTAAATGAAAAGATGTCTCTTATCTCCCTTCCTTCTCTCTCTCTGGTTTTAGTAACAATATGTTATTCTTCATACAGGATCACTGAACTACAGAACACTGTGCACTGTTGGTTCTAACAACACAGTGGCCTGTGACCGCTCCATCTACTCCAGTAAACAACTGTGGAAGATACACAAGGACGAGGTCAATAAACTGATAGAGCATTATAAGGAGAAAATAAACATGCTGAAGGTAATGAAGTACAAATTTCTATTTATTTATTTATTTTAATTCAACAGAAGAATGTATGTAGAATTGGTCAATCTGCAATGTTTGAAATTTCCATTTTCAGTATGAAAAATTCTAAGGTCAAGGTAGCATTTATTGAGTACGAAAAGTAATATTTGGAGCAAAAAGTTAAGTCATGTCTTATTAATTGATTCCCAGGAAATCAGAGAGCACCTCAGAATTGGAAAACCATCAGAAGCTCCTCCTGCATTTGGTGTAACCAATAGCAACAAAAGAGGGGGCCGGATCCCCACCACCTCAGAAACTTTCCCAGCATTCCCTGAAACCAGTGCGGACAAAGACTACAGTATTCCCCAGAACCACATCTACACAACTGATGTGCCTCCAACTTCATCAGCTGTTGTTATTGGCAAGGGCGAGGACTGCGTTTGTGAAGATGCAAGCCTGAATGAATCCGTAGGCGATATTGTTGAAAATACAGTGGTGCCTAGGTCAGTTACTATTATACATGATGGAATATACTTAAGCTATGTATTTTGTGCAAAATTGAAGGGTATGAATTAATATTAAAAGTTCATCCTTTTTAGGGAATGCTTGAAACAAGAGCAATATATTCGCCTGAGTGGTGTCTTGTATTAACATTATCCTCAAATTTTGACAGGGGGAAAAAATCATTGATTCAAAAAATTCTTTTATTTTTGTTTTATTCATACCACCATATTGACCAAATTTTTAACCCTAATAACTTCAGGCCATCTAGAAAACCAAAAAAAGAAAGACGCAAAAATCGCAAAAACAATAAAAGGCACAGAAAGCGCAAGAACAAGGACGTCACGAGGGACTGTCACCAGTTTTCAATGAAGTGTTTCACCCATGACAACGACCACTGGCAGACCCCTCCACTGTGGAACCGTGAGTATTCCAGGAAATTTTTATCATTTTTTAAACAGAATTTTCGTGAAAAGACACTTTGTCTGGATGTATATAGCCATCGCCTGTATCTGTTGTTGGTGTTGACGGCACTTTAAGTGTGCATTTCCTGATAAAAAGGATAACATTAATTGTTACCTGTTATTCTCAGACTTGCAAGAAAGGTTCTTAGGGCTAAAATGCATCTCAAGTTTTAAAAATAAGTTTGATTGGTTCATTTTCAATCAAAACAAACTTGAATCACTCCAGCATCTTTCAGATAACCTAGCTTTTTCAAAAATAAAAACATGATTTTGTTTTGTTTCATAAGTATAAACTTTGTTGATATATAGCTAGAGAATGATGTAAATACTTTCACTGGGTGCTTAAAATTTTACATTTTTCTATTTTCAGTGGGTCCATTCTGTTTCTGCCCAAACTCCAACAATAACACATACTGGTGTATACGGACCATCAATGATTCTCACAATTTCCTTTATTGTGAATTTATAACAGGGTTTATCAGCTATTATGACTTCAATAGAGACCCTTATCAGGTAAGAGCATCGAAATAAAATCTGACATTTAAAAATAATACATAGATATTTAAATGGTAGAACTCATAGACTAAAGCATAATTACATGTTGATAAGACAGTTGACCTTGTTGTTTCATGTTACATTTTTTTTTTACCATCACATAATTATAATTTAAACATTTAAAAGAATGATTTAACTATTTCACCTTAGAAATATTCATTCTTTTTATGAAATGTTTTATTTCAACTAATCTTATGTATCAATTGAATTCATAAATAAACATATTTCAAAATACATCTGGTATTACAACATCTGTCAAACCCCAAAAATATTAAGCCAATATATATAAAAAAGATATTTGGGTTTGTGTTATCTTTACATAAACTTATCATATGTCACTATTTCAGCTAAGAAATGCTGTACATGATTTAGAATACTGGACACTACAACAATACCACAAGACATTAAATAGGCTTAGGGCATGTGCAGGACCAAGGGAATGTACTATAAGATCTGGACAATATACAGGTGAGTGAAAATCCATGACTATAGGTGGCATTGCAAGACAAGCATAATCCTAATACCTATTAAGATTAGTTTGGAATATTGGCACTTAAGAAGACTGGTGCTAGACATACACTTAACTAGAGATGAAAGCAGTTAACAAGGGTTCAAGGAAAAAGTGAAAATACAGCTTAAGCAGAGTTTTAAACATGACAGAGCTCAAAATGCAAAGTTCTTCTGTGTTGTGTCTTGTTAACAATAGAATAACATCTGTTAGCAAAAGGAGTCCATCTTTAATTATATGTAAAATATGGGTAAATTAGTAGAGTTCCCTGCTCTGCTTTAGTTCAAGATTGCATCACTTTTCACTTTGAAAAAGTACTGAAATTTCTCATTTTCTCTTCAGAAAAGAAAGAGAAATCTGGAAGGCATGGACGCCGCCCTCCAGCTAACCACCACCTATAGCAGTATCCTGGTTCACCACACACTGATCTCAGAAGATTATTCCAAAAGTACGTTTGGAATTTTGATGAAAATATGGGTCATCCTAATGATACAGTTTTTTTTTTTTTTTTTTTTACTTTGGCTGTGTTTTTTCACTTGTTCTTGTGGTCAGGATAAACAATTTCTGATTATTGCTTTTCATTAACTGTTAAGATACTTGTGACATGTTGAAATGGAAAACCATATGGTTCCTTCTCTGTTTTGGTAATTTTTTTTTTATAAGTATATTCCAGGATATCTTAAATTATGAGTGAACTAATTTGGATTTTTTTATTTATTTCAGATTTCTCATTTCATTGCATTGAGTTAGAATAGCATGTGGTACCATCAGCTGAGGAAAACACAGACCTGGACTTCACAACTTCTGGCACTCCCAAAACTTGACACTGATACTGTTGAAGCGGAGGATCTGAGGATAGAAGAAAACATGTGATAAACTGAGACTTAGCAGTTGAATTAATGTCACCAAGTTTGCGTTGACAAAAGAAAACTATATTCTGGAGGAAGTACTGGAAAAGAACATGCAGAAAAGTCTCTTAAAGCTTTGTTAGTGATTAACAAAGAAATATGGGATTTTAATAAAGAAGGTGAAAAACAAATACTGCCAAAGCAAAATCAGTCAGGTTGTTAAATACGAAATGCCATTTTATCTGCTGTAGGGTCAAATAAGATGAAATCAAACAAGAAGTGACATCAAATAAGAAGTGACATCATGAATGTCAGAATGCACTGTGAAGATTTTAGCTCATGAAAGATTTTATACATGTGTGGAATGTGATGCAATTTTTTGACCAACCTTGTATGTGCGTTTTACTAAAATTTGCCATTCTGTGTTCACCATGTGTTCAGTCAGAAGAGGGCATTGTGCTGCAAGATAGGACCACCTCAAAGTCTTTAGAGTGTTTTTGTTTTGTAAGTGTAGACGTGTTGAAAAAAAAACTCCAATCAGGTGGAGCAGACTCATTAATGTAAAATCATCAAGTCATGACAATTGAGATTTCATAAGTTGCAGCTTCTAATTTTGTCGATTATTCGTCTGTGTGGGTGCATATTTCCCCCCCACAATAATTAATGGCCACAGTATCATTAGCTTTGCCAAATACATGTTTCATTATCTGTGTTTTGAACAGTGTTAAGAGGACGTAAAATCTGAGGCCTGCAGCTGCTTAAGTATTCATATGCATTTATTGTCATTTAGATACAAATAAACATTATCATACATTGTGCTTAGAGCAGACAATTCAAGCATTCTAACATAAAATCATCGACGCATTATCTTACTTGAACTTGTATTTATCATTAACAGCAGTGATATTTATTTCTCACTCATTCATTCATTTGTATTATATATATATATTATTTAACAAGAACTTGCCAAAGGGTTGTATTGGGTTGCCCACCTTACAGCTCAGTTAACTTGTATATATTGTAGAATTTAAGAAATACAAACCATTTTAAGAGAAATTTGTTTTTATATCTAACCATAAATATCACAATAGCAACAACTTTTATTTCTCCAGAGAACTTAAACGTTGGAACCAATTATCTTGAGACGTGAAGCAATAATATACTAGCAAAAAAAATTACGTACATTTTGTGGTTATTATCCAAAATAAATTGCATCTGGCTTCAGCCAAGATTTGAAATGCTAGCTTGAACCCATTCTTTGCACCCTGAGGTTCCAAGGTCAAAGTATCCAGTAAACAGGAGAGGCATTCTGATGACGGCCTAATTGCCAGTAGTCTGTGAAACTCGGGTGATTTCCTCATGTACCTAACTAGAAATCATCCTGATTTTAGGAGTTTTCTGATAATGAGAGAGACATGCTTATAATAAAGAGGTGCGTTTTCAGCATCTTATATCAGGGGCTTCTAAAATAATAAAAAAAATTAAAGTATCAGTGATACAATGATTTTGTAACCGACTATAATGGCACACTCTGTGGTCAGAGAGTATGTTTTCAGAGACCTATGAAACTTAGGGAGCAATATAGGTCAAACACACTAGAAAGCATCCCGAGTTTCAAAGATTATAGGAGGCTGTAGAGACATGTGGATAACAGGAGGAGGGTTGCTGGTTCCCTCTGAACAACAGGGTGAACATTTTGGAATGATCAGTAATACTTATCAGTGGCAGCCTCATTCTGTTATGTAGAAATAGAATGTGAAAATAATAAGAAGGGTGCACAAAGAAATTCCTATTGTTGCTTAGTGTGAGTCATATAATTATTTCTCCTGATTTTTGAAGACTTATTAATAATGGTGTCCCAGGTCCTTTTGTAGGAGGTTCAAAGGAAACAGCCAATTTGGCTGAAAATTTTATCTAAGATCAGTGCCATTTCTGAAGTTGGTTGAAGTAACTGGTAATAGGTCCGCTCTTTCAGAAGAAGAATATCTCCCTATTAAGTGCTAGCTACAGACCTTAATACTGATTACCATTGCAAATATATATAAAACAAATTGGCATCCAAAGCTCAGAGAATACATACTGAATTACACTTGACAGGACAGAACAGTTTTGGCTCAGAGTGAATTAACAATGAGATATTAAAACAGATAAACATCTTCTATTACAAAAGTGAATTTGATTTACCTTGGAACAATTTCACTTTGCACATAACATTTAAAGTTATGGATTGATTTCAGTGTCAAACTATGGTTCTTCTGATATACCAGAAAATAGGCACAGCCATTAGAGGTAGGCCTAGTTTTTTTTTCCTCCCCCACCCCCCTCTACTCCATAGAGCCTGCCAGTTAGATATGCACACATAAAATGAATTTCTCTGCAGAATGTTATTGGATTGTTATTCATAGTGGACCAAGAGCACTGTTTATTTATTAAACATTTATGCAACTTTCACAACATTTAGAAATGGCTCTATTAAAGCTGTCTACTAGCTGGGAGTGGTCAAACAAGACACATAAATCTTACAAAAATTTACTGTAAATGTTTATGTAGATAATAAAGATTTTTTTTACGTTCTAAAATAGTAAACGTACGTAAACGTTCGCGGAAGATTTTATACACACGCACACGTTAAGTACCTAAACAGCTTTTTTATTAACTTATCTGAGGACAAATATTCCATTTTGATCATATTTGAACAGGTAGATACCATGAATTTATGTCGCAGAAATTAGCCAAATATATATACCCCCCCCCCCCCCCCCCCGAAGAATCTTGTCGCTCGTCTAATATTCTCGACACAAAATCCGAAAGTCGGTGCAATTAAGCTGGGAAGGGTGGCAAACTAACAAAACACAACTTTAAAGTGAGCGATATGAACCTTATAGTATTTATCTTTAATTTCCAAATTGTTACAGCGTAGTAATTGCCATTGTTGGAAAAGGAGGGTCAACGTTTGGTCAATAGTCAGAGAAAAGTGGCGTTTTATCACAGAGATCTCACTGAAGAGACAGATTAGGGCCAACTTGTCCCCAAACTGAGGTCTAAACTTTGCAGAGCGTTCGCGTTATCAAATTGTGTTAGTTGTGACAGAATGCATTCCCAAACTATGTTGCGATTTCAATGAGAGTTAGGCTCCATCTCCAGCAGTGTTGGATCAATAATTCCAAATATATCTTTGCAAGAAAAATAATGTAAAGCTCGCATGGCTGTGAAGTTTTCCGGATTGCTCCAGGCTTTCATTATCTAAGTCATTGTCTAGGCCTGCCGTTACTTTGGATTATTGCTATATTGTATCTACCGTTCTTTAAAATTAACTCAATTTAATTTTTTGTTCGCGCACGTGTGTGTGTGTGTGCGAAGGCGAGGGAACGTCCGTAATCGGGCGCGCGCGTGTGTGTGTGTGTGTGTAGCCTCCCCCACCCCACCCCCTCCTATGAATAGGTTTTAAAATGGTGCCAAATCAGTGCATCAGATTTCGATAATAGCCGAGCTCCATCCTCAGCCAATGCGGGATCAATAATGCCAAGCGTATCTTTGTTAGACAAGAAAATTAATGCAAAATCAACAATGCTATGTGCCCAGTGTTCCGGATTGCTCTACACAGTCGCTCTCTAAGTCACTGACTACCATAATATTGCAAAGAGGATAAAACAGTTTTGTTTTCTTCTTTCTTCTCTTTTTTTACTGTAAAAATGAGTTATGGTGAAGTGTCTGATATTCCTCTCTCTCTCACGTTTAGATGAATTTTGTTTTCTCCTTTCTTCTTCTTTTTTTTACTTCTTTACTGTAAAAATGCATGAGTTATGGTGACGTGTCTGATCTCTCTCTCTCTCTCTCTCACGTTTAGATGAGTCTCCGTCACACACGTAGTTCATCCTAAGAGCCGGGGAAGGGGGGAGAGTTTATGCCGCTATTACACTTTTTTTTTTACATCGTCAGTCATAGAAATGTTATTATTGTTATTATTATTATTATTATTATTACTGAATGGATACGCTCCTTGATCTACCCTTATGTGCTTTCTGCGCGCATCTACCACCCTGAGCTGAGATAACATGAAACAAACCTCTACACTATAGCATACCCTTGCCGTTTTAAGTTACCCCTGAAGCTCCAGGCGTCACTTACAGAAAGGTTTAGAATAAAAATATGCTCTTTTGTAAACAAAAATGCTTTCTGTGCCTTTCGTGTTTATGATAAGTAGTCAACAAAAATTGGCCCTTAACCCAAACTCAGTCCACAGGTGCAAATGAGGTCACAGGCATCCTCTTAAAATTATTTAGTGCACAGATTAAAAACTTTGATTGTTTTAGGGTCCCACACAAAGGAGTTTTTAGCAAAGTTTTACCCTCCTGGAACCATGAATAATATGCGGAATAATTCGCCTAACCCCAGAAAGGAACATACGTTACTGTCACAAATGCAAGACGACCAGCTGTGAAAACGCTTTAATACTCACTTTGGAAATTCAATCATCACTGATTTTGTTCTTTAATTTATCTCCTACAAATATAATGTTGTAAAAATTATAATAATCTTCTGTATAGAGCAGTTAATTTTTGAGTGACTTTAGTTTGCTTGTCACTGAATACTATGGGGGGGGGGGGAGGAGGAATACACCCTACTGAGAGCAAAATAAACATAAAATAAACTATTTCCCTTTCGTGGTCCAAATATAATATCAGAATTGTCAAACTACACATGGAGTCACAATATATTTGTAGGTCAGAAACAGAAAACCTTGTTTCCTATTGCACCTACTGCATGGGCAAGATGAATCGAAACTTTTTGACAATATTTCTGGGGAACATATAGGCCTACGTTACATGGTATTAGCCATGACGCAAAGTCATCAGCGGACATCCCCTTCAAATAATCTTGGATCCGCCCCTGAAAATATATCAGAAAGCGACATAAAGATTAAAACTATATATGGTCCGGGACATACGTTACCATTACCATAATGGTATAGGCATGGTAAAAATAAAATGAAAATGTTAAATTGAGACAGCCGTGGATTTTTGATCTATAACATGTATGTTTTAAAAGATTGAATACAACTGCGAATTCATTTAATTTAATTTTTCAGCATGTGAAATGCACCCTCTATATTGAGTTTGGGTGCCTAGTGTCTGCTATAAACTTTTCTTTCACGTAGATGCCGCCACTTAATTCCCGTCCCCTTTGCCAAACTTCATCCGTGTATGTTTTTTTAATCACCAAATCAGTGCGGAGAAAACTTTGCAGTCTTTTCACAACTGTCGCATCCATCTTTTAACATACGGTCTGCTTATGAATGAAACAAAGAAGAAGAGGGGGAATGCAGTAAGTTTTGGTAGATCCTGTCCCACTTTCGGTATGTCTTACACGGAAAAGCCTGCAGCATGTTTTTTAAAGAATACAATACAAAGTCTATTATGAGTAATGTGTAACCTTTGCCAAATAGGGAGATTGACGTCACTGGGGTCACGTGACTGGGCGCGGGAGCGAGGCACATGCAGGGCCGCCATTGTTCCGCTGAGGAAATTTACGCACAACTCGCTGGATTTCAGTCCTTCATTTTGCCATTTCACACAAGGATTCACAACTTGGAACTTGTACCACGTACAAGAGTATTGTATTGAGAACTGTGAAAGGACACTTTGTTTGTTCTATTTGGATTATCACTCTGGATTCTCGTGTAATGTCTGCGAGCGTAGATCAGGTTGGTGGTCGCCATATTTGATCTCATTATCGAGCACTTGTTGCCAGCTCACACACCGCATCCCGTATTCATATTCTCGATTTCGACATCTGTCTCCACACCGAAATCTTCTAATCGGCTGTTGTTTCTTATTTCTTTCTTTTTCATAAAACCATGTATTCCAACGAACAGAGATCGAAAGGCCAGCCGTCTGCAGGTAAGCAATGAAACCAGGAAAAATCGATAAAATATGCCGACATCTTAAGAGACCGCATGTTTTAGGTTATGTTTGATAATTACACGTTGGGTTTCCCAAGCAAAACTGAGACATAATTTTAGAGGCAGAAGCCCAGTGAAAAGTCCTGTTTGGTTGGATCTTTCAGAACGACTTAATTTCTCAGCCAAATTGCTATCAATTACTTGGTATCCAAGATACATAAGGAGATTGGGAAGTCTTACCTTAATGCAAATGGACAGTTTATGTTCCCCATATAATAAAAATTCAGTTTAATTTGGCCACTGACAGCAACACAGCAAGCAGAAAATTACATATCTAGATGTCATTGTGCTCACGAGTAAAACCTGCTGAGCAAGCACTATTGTGAGGAAACAGATAAGGAAGTCACTGTTATTTTGTAACCCAAACTCTTAAAAATTCACCAACATACAACCCAAGGAAAAATGTCCCTTACATACTGACTAAGGTCTAATTTAAAGCCTGATAAAGACCCAGGTGTGTGTTTTGCTCTCAGGGTTCAGTGACAGAAACGACTTAATTGCTAGCCTGCTAGGCCATACTCATATCCTCTTTGAGAGATAGCAGATAAGAGTAAAATATGGAGGATGCTGTGAATTAGATATCTTTAAATTGGTCTCACANTTGGAAGACCATCAAAATGGAAGATGGATCAATAAAGATACTTTAGAATACTGTCAAAAATATTTCTGGATCTGCTTCTGTTAATGACCATGTTACTTGTTGTGCATAATGAAAAATCAGTGTTGACTGACTGCTATTATAAGCATTATTTATTGTTGCATCAAAATTGACAAAATGACCTCTTTTGCATCTTTTTTTTCTGTTTTTTGTCTGTACATTTGACAGCTTTGCTGCCTTGTATAGTAATGTGCATGCCAGTTGTATATTCTAAAAAGATAATTAAAGAGCTGTAACATTTTTGTAGACCTTATCAAAACTGCTGGGTTACTATGAGAAATGTTGTCTGTAGATTAACAAATGTTGATAATTGGATCAGATCTGTTCTCTCTGACATGATCATAACTTTGTCAGATGGTGAATCATATCACAACAACTCACTGTAAGCAGTAGATTTCTGCTTATTCATGAACTATAAAACATTGACAGTGCGAAAGCAAAACAAAGCATCCTCTTTATGCAGTCATGGAGCATGACTAAGTTTCATATATTACTCAAGTTGTTTGTTAACAAGCTGCCCATGTTATTCATATGTTACCAGTATTGTGTAGTTGATGTTTTACATACAATAAGGCATGGTATACCGAGTCCTCATTAACACCCCACTGTTGTCCAATTTTGTTGAGACTAATTGAAATCACTGTACAGGAATGTTACGGAAGTGTTGGGTTCATTTCAGCATAAATTTTGTACGAGCCACATAGCTGAGAAAAATGTGCCACTTCAACATTTCAAATCAAAAGCTTAGAAAGACAGAATAGTTAAAATCTATTTGTCCAAATTATTTTTAAAATCTGTATAAGGTTAGGAAGAAACGATTCCATGGTAACGTGGTGGACTCAAGAGTCAAAGAGTACATTTTATAAATAGTTGTAATTGTGCAATAGACTGTTACATTTTTCCTCCATCTCTGAAGTTGTAACTTATGGGGGTGTATTGTTTATTGAGTCATGCTCACGTCAGCATACTATACAGGTTTTCAAGCTTGTGATAATTTAGGGGATTCCCCAAATTCAAGGGAATTTTACTGTGGCCCAATCTGAAGACCTGGTTATTTAGGGGATTCCCTCCAGTAAAAGACGAAGGGAATTATTTGACAAAAGAATGTTTCCTTTCTTTTTCATACTGTACATAAAATAGTGACTTCCTTTTATTTCCATACTGTGCATAAAATAGTCATGGGATTTGAAGTATACAGTAAATCATTTCAAGATGATAGGTCACAGTAAGATGCAACTCTGCCTGTTTTGTATTCTGCAGCTTTTCTTGTTGCATGTCACTTTGGTCCAGTCTGTCTCAATAGCATTCTCTGAAGATGCTCCCTGAAATACATAAATACTTGAAACCATCCCATGTATTCTATCTTTTTCCTCTGTTTCAGTAGCTAACGGACCTGGAAGTGGAGGAAACAAGGAAACGGTGAAGGAAGGAGAATTTGAAGCCTACTTCAGCCAACCGCATCAGGTGAGGTGGACTAGAGGTCCTAGTTTTTGAAGTGGGGTCATGTCACATGTGACTCCTATTGTATCCATTTCCTTCATTTTCTTTTGTTAAAATTACTACCCCATGATAATGACTTTTTTTTTTTAACTTGGATGGAATACATTCTAGCTGTCCTTTTAGGTGTCAGCAAATTTGGAGGTAAACACGCTCTCAATTACTAATTTACACATTTTTGAAGCAACCATAAAAGAAAAGTAGAATACTTCCTGGTTGTAAAATTGATGCTTCCTTTACATCTGAATTGTGTACAGTTCAGAGAGGTGGTGAGTTTACCGAAAGCCCTTTGCAAAAAGAAGTAGTAAATTAACTTGTGGGAGATCGTGTAGTAAGGTGTATGGAATCAACAGGTGGACTGGGATATTAATAGAGACATTCATTGTGACGTTACATATGCTGATGCAGGGCAGGCATTGTGTGAGGTGGGGTCCACTAGGCAGGGATGATTAAATGGTTTTGGCCACGTTAAATGTTTTCTTTTCTGTCCCGTGAAATTTTAAAAAGTGATTTTGTACTGTCATAACTTTTTGTGTAAACAGTAAAAAAATGTCCCCACAATTAAAAAAGAAATTGAGGAAATGATTGTAAATAGGGGAATATCGTGGTTTGTCCTGAGAAAGGGTAATATGAGATCATTACACTGTCACACACAAGTCGCATTTCTCTTGGCAAAATAAAAATAAAAAAAGAAATTCATTTAAGACGACATTTATCTTAGGTCAAATTAGACCTAAATCCTTTGGTTTTAAAGTGAAGACTTTTCAGTCCCAATTTCTTTTCATGCTGCATCTGAAGACAATATAAAGATGCAGTTATCAGAGAGGCTGACATATTTTTTAATTATTTTTTTCCTCCACCCCCATCCCCAACTCTGGGCCAAATCCACGACTCCTGATGCTACCAGCAGTAAATCCTATCAAGTCAGTAGCACTCCAGTCACGCACCTGTTATAATACAGAGGTCCATATTTTCTCCCATTATATTTGGTCTTGATCTTGATCAGATCTTGGTCTTGATAGTAGACAGATAAGGATGGGCCATATAGCAGTCACGCTGTTATGTCATATAAGATTGAGTACAGAGTGTACAGCCTGTGCACTTGTCATGAAATACTGATAATTTCAACCTCAAAGTGGGTGCTATAGTGAAGGTATTTTAGTGCTTAAGGGTTTACCTGAGGATAGGTATGGTTATGATATATCTTAACCTTTTCACTTTAAACCTGTGTTTGATACAAGGACTTGGTTTGGTGAATGTTTAGAGTTTCTTGTAGGTGATATATTTTAGAAGCTTGTCGGGCAAGATTATTTTCCACATTTTGAAATATATGTGTTCAAGGTATCGGGTAGATTGTTGGAGCTAAGGACTCATATGATCACTCCAACTGAAAAAAGGCTGATTTTTATGTCACCATGAATAACTGAGAGATACGAGATAAGGGCTTGTTTTCTTAATTGTGCAGAGGACCCCATCTTAAGACTACACTGATAGTTAGGCACTGTAGTTTTAGCTCCCTGCCAGGTTATCTGTTGTGAATACTGCAGTTGATATGTAATATATCCCTTATCAGAGATAAATAGTCTAAATGCACAGGTCAAGTAGATTTAATAGATCATCATATGTAATGTTCTGTTGAATTTGACCCAGTTTTTATGGAAAAGGGGGTTTGAAGGTTATGATAGGAGAGTCTTCCCTAAAACACACTGATTTTTTTTTTCCTTGGGCATTTTTTCAAAATTGAGTTAAATGGATGTCTTGCTATCTCAGGTTCAGAAGCTTCACCTAAAATGACCAGTTCTATCCCCCCCCCCCCCAATAGTGTGTGCAGTGCTATTAACTTTGTATATTAAAACAAAGCAGAGAGCTTCATTTCCTTGTTATTGTCAGAAAAAACTCCTTGTGGTTTGAAGTGATTCACAGAGCAGATGTTTACCTCAGTTGCACCCAGCTGCTAAGTGTGTGTGTGTGTGTATGGTGATTACAGCATCAGACTTGTCACATATATGTTAATAACATTCATTCATGAAAATACACTATGCAATTCTATTGGGTGGGGATTTTTACTACTTAAAGGGTTTGTGTGTGTGTATATGTGTGTGGTGGGGAGGGGGGTGTGTATCAAAACTGGGGCCACTAATGTGAGAAATACAGCACGAAGCATGAAGTAAGACTAGGTTGGGTTTAGCCCTGTAAGGTATGGAGTGATTCATGGCCCAGTCTTTCCCCTAAGCTGTATGGCTGATAACAACAGTTGTGACCTCTCTGACAAAGCACCTGCTACAGCAGCAGGGGGAAGATGTCACTGCTACAGCTGGGGTTGTTGTAATAATGGTGTAAAACTTGTGTAATCATTTTAACCTGCAAGTTACATCTTTGTATGTGTGTGTTGGGGGGGGGGGGGGTGGGGGGGACTTGGTCATTTATTCTTGTATCATGACTGAAGGCAATACACATATTAACAAGTATATGCATTGCAACCAGCTGAGAGCTAGGGTACTTTGTTACCTGGGGTATATTGTAGATGTTCCATCCACCTTTCATTCTGACTTGAATAAATATTAAAATATCAAAAAATGGATAAGAAAAAGATTGGAGGCTTGAGACTTAAAACTGGTATGATATGCCATTGTTAATGCTGTTTTTATTTTATTTCTATTTCATATTCCTTCACCCCTGCCCTTCACCATGGATTGTGAAATGATTGCATCTGTCTGACCACCATAACTGACCAATCTGCTGGGTGATGACCATCAATTTACTTGACCACTGGACCGTCACTACTATGGCAACCTGATGTTAATGACGATAATATGCTGCTGTCTACTGTATCTACCTGTCTCTGTGCACTGAACCCTGATGAACGGAATTAACACATATCTGCAATTGACTTCATATTTTAAAAATTTAACTTGGTCATGTCTCTCAATTTACAATCATTATGGTTGTAAAACTTGTATGCCAATTTTATAAAATTCTGCTGAAATGCTGCTGTATTTTACAAAACAAAATTTACAAATATTTTGAAACGCTACCTGGTGAATTTTATTGGAAAATGCTGGCTATACAATCAATGGCATCTCCATACCAACAATGTGTTTCTATGCAACAACTACCGTGGCAATACTGCTGCCCATGCCAATCACCATGCCAACATCATGTGTTGCTATGCTACCATCACCTTGGCAACATAACAACAGGGAGCTTACACATCTGCCCAACAGATGTCTAGCCCAGGTGTTTCGGACGCTTACATGCAGAACTATTACAACCCTTATCCTTACTTGACCACCGGACTCGGAGACACTGCTTGGTCAAATGGCGGGGACCCCATGTCCTTCCTTGGCTACGGCCAGATGAGTGGAGACTATGTGTCCAGTAATGGAATGTTCCCTGGCTTTGACTACCAGCATGCAGCATTTGCCTGGGGTTTCCCCGGGACGGAGTATGCCTGGGGTGCGAACTCTGCCGGGGCGCAGCAGGGAGGGGGGCGTAAGGACTCTCGGGGTTACGGACAGGACGAGTATTACCATCCGGACAGTATGGGCCCCTCGGAGAGTTATGCCATGAACGGGGACATGGACAGGGATAACGGACTTAAGGGCATGGAGCAAGGGTTTCAAGGGATGACTCTGGTGAATGATGGAGGGGTGGACTCAGGGACTGAGGGGGTGGCTGTGAATGTGAACTCTGGCTCTGGAGGAGGGGGGATGGGCCACGGTGGGTCTGGCGGACAAGGCGGTGTGTCGCTAGGTGGTGGCGCCCCCAAGAAAATGACTTGGGCGTCCATTGCCAGCCAGCCAGCCAAACCTCAGCCTCAGATTAAGTCTAAGACTATCCCCCGTGCCCCAGTACCTCCGGGAAAGCAGAATATGGATATAGGACAGTGGGACAAAGCCAATGCGGCTAAGCAGGCGGGACAGGCGCGCCAGGCGTGGGGGCCGCCCCGCAATCGTGGCTCAGTGCAGCCTTATTCCACCGGACCATCCGCCAATGCCCCCATGTCGAACTCTGGCAATGCAGGGCTGGCCAACATCTCGGCTCCCGCGGCGCCCCCAGCATCCTCACACCCAGTGTTGGACAAACTGAAATCGGCGAATCAATATAACCCCAAGGAGTTCACTGTCCCCAAAAATTCACGTTTTTTCATTATTAAGAGCTATTCAGAGGACGACATACATCGTAGCATCAAGTATAGTATTTGGTGTTCAACGGACCACGGAAACAAGAGGTTGGATACGGCTTATCGCCAACAGGAAGGCAAAGGTCCTGTGTACTTGTTGTTTTCTGTGAACGGAAGTGGACATTTCTGTGGAGTGGCGCAGATGTTATCGCCTATCGACTACAACCGGACGAGTGGCGTGTGGGCGCAGGATAAGTGGAAAGGACAGTTCGAGGTCAAGTGGATTTACGTCAAGGACGTGCCCAACTCCCAACTGCGACACATTCGCTTGGAGAACAATGAGAATAAACCTGTGACTAACTCCCGTGACACGCAGGAAGTTCCACTGGAAAAGGGGAAACAGGTGATGAAGATCCTCCACAGCTATCGGCATACCACCTCCATTTTTGATGACTTTGGACACTACGAGAAACGCCAGGAGGAGGAGGCGCCGGAACAGGCACACAACTCCAAGAAGTCTGGCCAAAAGGTGAGGAGGGTATCTCGCTAAAATGAGTTTAGGAGAAAAGGGGGTGGGATGGGGGTCAAAGATAAAATGAGGCACATAACCTGAGAAAAGTGGGGGCAGGAGGTGAGGGTAAGGCTTGTGAAACTGAAGTGGTAGGTGTTAAGTGGCTTTGGGGGTGGGGGTAAATTGAGGCATGCTACTTTTTGAATGTTAATAGCTGAAGTAAAGGGTTGTGAAGCATTGGA